AGCGGCTGAATCGGGGAAGCCGGGGGCAGAGCAGAGCTCCAATGGTCCAGCTGCCTGGAGCACTTCCGGGTTCCTGATGGTGCCGGATCATCAGGAGTACCGGACCATCAGAGTTTTACTGTATTAGCCAGAATGGGTAGGAATGGTGTCCCTAGCCTCTGTTTGTTACAGGCTGAAAATGGATGACAGGAGAGGGATCATTTGATTACCTGTTCTGTTCACTCCCTCTGGGGCACCCAGCATTGGCCACTGTCAAAAGACGGAATTCTGGGCTAGATGGACTTTCGGTCTGACCCAGTATGGCCATTCTTGCGTTCTAGTAATAAACACTAGAACATATTATTAATGTTTATGTATTATATTACTTACATGACATGGTGTGGTAAATGCTGGGCCAGTACTGGCCACTGTCCCTCTTCAGCCATACTCTAATTGTTCTGCAGAGCATAGGGGAAAGGAAAGAATTTGTAAGCATGGGAATCAATTGTAACATCTATATATTTTTTTAAAAAATTAAAGACTTCAGTAACTCTGTTTCTCTACTAGCCCATTTTATTGTGGTATATAATGCCTTCAGATACACTGATAATACACTGCAGCTATAATATTATCTGAGTATGTATGGGAGGCTTTGCAGAAGGTTCTTTCAAATCTTCTGCCAGGAATAGTTCATCCCATCTATTACATTCATTGTGAAAAATCAAAAAGATTTAAGCCTGATTCAGGCCAATCTATTGTTCCACATTTAATATATAAAACTTCATGTTTGTTTATAGGTTTTAAAAGCATATGTACAACAGTGGTCAACCAACCAGTAGATCAAGGTCTACTGGTAGATCTTGGAGCCTGTAACCAGTGATCCTGACTGGTTTGGCCAAGAGGCTGTTAAGTGCGGGTATCTCAGCTTCCTCTCCCCCCACACTGCTGTGTTCCTCCTGCCCTTTGTCTTGGAGCTGCCTTCAAGAGCCTCCTGCTTGCTGTACTGGAAAGGGGAAGCAGAAGGAAGCGCTGATGTCAGGATGTCATCCACCCTCCACTCCTGTACCCGATCTCCAAGCCCCCACTCTGCTCACTCTCTGGAGAAGGGGTGGGGTGGGACAATGTTATGTGTGTTTGAGGTAGATACTGGATTGACTTACACCGAAAAAATAGTTTTGGGCTTTTAAAGGTTGGAGACCACTGATGTACAATAAGTCCTGAACAGTAAGAGCAAGGTCATGGTTTGGTTGTGTCACAGAAATGGGAAGTGCCAGGAATGAGACACTTTTCCATAACATGGAAAGGAAGGGGACAGAGGAGGGGATGCAATATTGAAAGCAGACAAGGGGGAAGTGAGCACAAGGGAGAGCAATATGCCGAGTAGCCACTGGAGGCAGCACTAGGAATGTAAGCAACTAGGCAACTATCTGATAAGCATAAGCTGACTAGCTGCTTCCACCCCTTGCCGCCTCTCAGAAGCATTCGGGGGGTTAGAGGAAGGGGGGAGAAAGGAGGGGGTGGCACAGGAACCAGTGCTATCAGAGGCAGCAGGAGGTGGATAGGGGAGGTTGCTGCATAGGATGCAGGTGAAGCCTCTGTCTGCAGGGAGCTTGAGACTCCCAGGGGGTGGGGACGGGAGCACACTGGCTGGCAGCCTCACTTGAATAGTCGTGTAACCAATAATATTGTGCGCTTACATGACTATTCAATGAATTGTTATTAAACATCCGCAATAAAAACAATTCAGTTTTCAGTTCATATTGGTATGAACATCAAAGCTTTGACATGGCAAAGTTAAAGTTAAATGCATCCTCTAACAAGTTTCTGAATATACATTAAAAACCCACTTATCACATGTGACCAAATACCAAGTCTCTCTCAGGAAGCCCCACTGTTCCATACACTACAAAGGCTGGATGGACATCAAGCTGCTGTTTAATTTTTATTCTTATTTAAGATGTCCTCCCATACCCAACACACTGCACTTCACCCACATCCATCAGTTAAATACGTTATCAGTCACATCTGGAGAGTGACACGGTTCCTCTATCATTATCCACAGCCTGTGGCCAGATTCATAAACTATGCTTCACAGAAGCATAGACTATTTTCCCTCACTTAATATCACCAATGTGAACCATTCATAACATTGTTCACAAGAAGTGCATGCACTCCTTCCATTTGGACACTGCCATTAGGAGTCAGTAGTAGTGTTGTTAAGTAGTGTTTAATTCATCAATGGTGTAGTTGACATTTTTTGACTACATGATTAATGGATAAGGGTTAGCACAGTTATCACTCAGTCCCAGCTCAAGCTGGGTCCTGGCAACTACCCCCACTGCAGCACTGCATTAATACTATTATTGCAGAGCAGCAGTAGGGATAGTTGCCAGGACCGACCCAGGCTGTCAGCCAGCCTGCTAGAAAACATACTTGCAGAGCTGCGCAGGGGGAGTTGATAGTGTGTGTAGCCAACAGCATTAACCGATAACCAGATTCTTATTGGTTAATCATTTAATCAACTATACTATTAAATCACTAGTCAGTAGCACCGCCGCCGCCCCCGCAATGTTTTTCCATAGTTTTCCAAAAGTTCAGGTCTTTTACCTGCTTTGTGCAACTTCACTACACTCACTGTTTGAAGAAATTCCAAATGCAGCTTTCAGATGCACTAATTCAAGCCTTTTTACTTTTGACCAAAGCCCTTCAATTCTTCATTCTCAACTGACAGAAGAGTGAACTGCAGTAACCATGGCAATTGAGAAAGTTCATTAGACTTTTGCAAGTATGTAGCCTTTGTTTCCTCCCAGGTCTCTGTACATTTCACTTCCTCCCAGGTCTCTGTACATTTCACTGATCTTGAAAACAGTACCAGGAAGGCATTACTAGCAACAGGATGGCGGTGTAAGAAAACAGATACTAAATGCAACATTTTCAAGAAATTAAAGATACAGTTCTTCTCATCGCCTCCAATTATGTAGTCTTCAACTTGCAAAAGGCCAGACAAGTGTCTTGGAAAGTTTATATTAATGTTTTCTAAAAGAAAATCCAGGTAAGAATTAAGCCTCCAACGTCAGATTTACATTTTGTAATAAAATTGAAGACTGATGAGACTATTATTGCTCCAGTCCCTCTGTCTGTACCATGAATGTAGAATATTATGAAGCACAGCAAAAATCTGAAGAGACCCTTTTCATCAGCAACTCATTATGTAGCCAACACTGATTTCCCCACTTCTCTTTTCTCTGCCTCTTAGATGTTTGCAGCTGCAGTGCTCTTCCTCTTCCTGAGGATGCACTTCAGGGTGCTGATGCCAATTCTAATGTAAAAGACTAGAATGAAGTCCCTCTAACAAATTTTTCCACACAACCCTCCTATGTACTCGTCATTTCAGAATTTCCAGTGTTATAGCAAAAATCTAAAGATCACTCATGCACCTCAGACTCTCGTTCTGACTCCCGTTTTACTTAACAAATGGTCCAATGCTTAATACACAGGACTAGAACTCAAGGGAATTTAGTTCTTATTTAGTATCACAGAAGAAGTCTATGGAAGGTTATCTGCAGTCACTCAACTTCTGCACCTCAGATTCAGAAAAACAGATAATAAAGACCTATTTTAGATGGATGACTTAGACAAGTCACCTTTTTGTTTCAGGTCAATTCCACAAGCCAAATACACAGAGAAGAATGAACAACTTCATTTACACGTTCAATTCTTATGCAAATACTATGAACGAGGATATTGGCTCGCACATTATCTTCCACATCCTAGGACTTTAGCACCTCCGTTGTTTGGTTGGTAGGTTATTGTTCTTATCAGCCTGTTATAACTATTTGAACCATCTACTCCAGTGGTCTCCAACCTTTTTACACCCAAGATCACTTTTAAAATGACAGAACAAGCCAAGATCTACCACCCCACCCCTTCCTTGACGCCCTGCCATCTCTATTCTCCTCCTCTCCATCACTTGCTATCCCCAACCCTTATACTGCTGCTTCTCTCCCCCCCCCCCAAGGTTTTTTCCAACATTTGGCCTGTCTAGACTGGACCAAATGTCAGAAAAACCCCTTCTTTTGGAAGCCCCTTTGTTCCTCATGGAAAGAGGAACTAAAAAAAAAGCAGAAGAACAAATGCATCCCTGGATGCACAAAAGTTTTTCTGGGATATCTCCAGAATCCTGAAAAACTCCTGCTGTCTAGCCGTACCCCCCACTGGGTTGAGACAGGATGTGTAGGCTCTGGGATGGGAATGAGGGATTTGGGTGTGGAAAGGGGTGAGTGGTGCAAGCTCTGGGAGGAATCTGGATGCAGGAGGAGGTGGAGAAGGGGACGCTGTCTCGGGGAGGGGGCTCCAGGCCGGGCAGTGTTGGGGTCAGATGTAGGGTTGGGGTACTAAGCAAGCCACAGGCTTGGGGATGTGAAGGTGCAAGAATTTGGGTTGGGGTCTGTGGCAGGGTGCCAGTGGGGGTAGAGTCTCCCCTGCACCAGCCTCCTCCCAGGATTCCCCCCTCCCTCCAAGAGAAGGGAAGCCCTGTTGCACACCTCCTCTGGGCCCAGGGCTCCCCACTCGTGAGGAGGAGGGAAGCCTGTGCACATGCCCCCTCGGGGCCGACCCCCCCACCACGGAGAAAGGAAGTCCCATCACGTGCTTCCCCCTGGGACTCGTGCTGACCCCACCCCCCACCCCCAGAGAAAGGAAGCCCCAGCGCACGACTCTGACCTCCTCCCCCCGCGCAGCAAGTCCCCGGTGTGCCACAGACCTGGAGATGGGGAACAGGCAACACACTTCCGGAAACCCCAGAAGTGGCACGCAGCTGCCAGATTTCCATCCACCCCGTGGGAAGCCGGCACTACCTCCATTGTCACTGGAGGTAGGTAGTAGGGCTTCTTGGGGGTGGGGAGAAATTGGGGGGGCCCTTAACGCCTCGCTATCAACTGGTCGAGCCCTCCCGATCCACCAGTCGATTGTGATAGACGGGTTGGTGACCAGGGATCTATTCACTGTCATTATTTGTCTCCTTTCCCTTCTCTCCCCCCCCCCTTCCCTCTTCCCTTATTTATTCTTGGATCTGGACTTCTTATACTCTGGTCAACTGAAGAAGTGGGTTTTGCCCACGAAAGCTCATACCACCATCTACATCTTTTGTTAGTCTTTAAGGTGCTACTTGTCTATTTGTTTAAGTTTTTCCTGTTACAGACTAACTCGGCTACCCCTCAAACTTTTTTACAGATTTATTAATGTGGATACTATGCAAGTATAAAATATTCAGTTACATTGCTTATTTCAAACAAACATTAAAAAGGTTACTCTTCCAGGACATAATAAAGTGAAAAATGCTTATGCTGAAGTAGTAGTCCCTCCAGACTGACAACTGGATTGTTTGAATTCTATAGACAACATTACAAATCATAGCTAGGGCCAAATGTGAATGTGATATATGGCATGCACGAACAGGTTAAGTTACAAATGTAGTTTGTAACAGCTTCTGAAAAAATTTAGTGTCCTGAAGATTTGCTCAACAGGAATTTCTCACAACACAGTGACTATTTTGTAACTTGAGATAATGGGAGGACATTTAGACAAAGGGAAAGTTCTTGAGAACTCCATTAACTCATGCAGTTCAGGTCAACTCCAACTTATTTTTCCTAAACTCCTTCCTGAAGAATTTGGCCTACGGTTCGGGGGAAAATGGAAGAGCCAATAGTCCAAAAAAAAAAGTGAACGTAGAATTACATTTGTGCCATTAGCAAGTCCGAGCATGCAAACACCTTCCTCTGCATTATAAGTGGAGGCACTTTTGCTTCAAATAATAAATAATTTTAATGGGATAGAGATTAAGGCAGGCACATTTTTCTTGCAGACCAAACAATTTAAATCTCTTGCAACCTGAAGGAACACTACCATGAACATGTTTCCAATGCACCTAAAAACATCTAATTCAATCCTTGATCTTTCAGCCTAAACTTGAAAAGTTGCATAAAACTATTTGCCAGGAAATGGTAATTAATGGTAAATATTACCACTTCTGAACCAAACTGAAATTTTAATTAGATATTTAAAAAGTGGTTTTCATATTTGAGGTAGAGTAGCAGTCAGAAGTTCTAATATTGGGACCAAACCACACAAGGTGCTTTGTAAACCTGAACTGAGATACTTAGACGATGGTATGGTATGGTAGTTACGCGACCCCCAAGCATCATCTAATAAACCATCTTGTTAGTCTTTAAAGTGCTACATTGTCCTGCATTTTGCTTCAGCTACCCCAGACTAACACGGCTACATTTCTATCACTATGGTATCTGAGTACCTCAGTTTAATGTATTTAACCATCCTCAACAGCCTAAGAGATATAAATATATTATCCCCATTTTACAGATGGGGAATGGAGGAACAGAAAGAGGAATTGACTTTCCCAAGCTCACACAGGAAGGCTGAAGCAAGGCACAGAACTGAATTCACATCTCCTGCATCACAAGCTAGCATCCAACAATGGAGCCAGTCTTTCTTTCTTCTATACGTAGATGCAATCCCTATTATGAAACTTTATTATCTATATTAACTATGAAAGAAACAATCCTGGAAGTCAGGGTTCGTCAGCCATCATGCACTATTTTCAAAAGTGATGTATACATTATCGTGTATGCAATCTTAAATTTAGATCAGCACAAAGATTTCTTCCATTGTCCAAACAATTGCCAAATCCTGATTCCAACTAAGCCAATGTCTGCTAATGGTCCCAAATTCGGCCCTTTAGTTTATAAGTAAATACAAAGACTACTTTGTATATATATTTAGTGCAAATGTATTTTGTGTAACTACAAAGTCCTGACAAATGCCTACCAAAACAAGAACTAGCATGAGCTTGCGAGTCTTCCCCAATTCTCTTTGGGGTAAGGGGAGGGCCTGGACCATAAGTCCATGTATTACTGTGAACCTAAGACGCAATGTGCAAAGAATTGTGGAAGCAGCAAATGTGAACCTGAAGTGGTGAAGGAGTCCATAGTTGGGGGTCCACTATCACAATCAACCTTTTACTGGAAAAGGAACTCAACACAAGCACTGGACATTTGTGTAGCACCTTTTCTAGCTTGAAGGAGATATGGCAAAACAAACCGACAGAACATATGAAAGATCTGTATGTATCATGCATGTGTTAGCACACATGTGGAAACCAAACTTGGACCCTATATACGCATCAGGAAGAGAGGCTCAACAGCCTTCATATGCATTTCCTCTGGAATCTCCTGGAAGTATGCAGTCCCCACTGTGAGGTGCTCAAATGGGACAGCATACTCAACATGTAAACGCTCCTCACAGACACCCACCACTGATGTGGGTATGTGCTCTCAATAAGTGATGAGTGCATCCCAAAGGGAATGCTCTACAGCAGGGATGGGCAATAGTCTTTGACCAGAGGCCACACCAGAAATTTTTTAAGGGGTGGGCCTCAGGCAGAAGGGGTGGGACCAGGATACTTATGTGCTTCCCTGCTCACAGACCCTGATTGGTCTGGGGGTGGAAGAGCATGTGAAGTCTTTGCCCCTGCTCCCACCTCTCCTCCAGAGAGAACCACCAGCTGCTCTGAACTGGTGGCAGTTCCCTTGAGGTGCCTGTGCCCCGGCCACGGGGTAGACTTTGCATGCTCCCTCCACCCCCAGGCCAATCAGGGCTTAGGGAGAAGCAGCAGGGCTTCCACAAGCTGGATCCACCTGCTTAGTGGGCCAGATTTGGCCCACTGAGGCCCTTTTGTCCACCCCTGCTCTACAGCCAATTGGTATCCAGAAAAGTACTCACAGAGGGTATGTCTACACAACAGGAGATGGACCTTTGGTGAAGGCATGGCTGGGGGAGGCAAGCCCCCAGCCCCACCTCTAGCTCTGCCTCTTCTAAGGCCTGCACCTTCCCCATCCTCACAGGGAGGTGGGGCAGTGTGCCATACTTGCACTCCTCCCAACTACAGGCATAGGGTAGCCAGGTGTCCAGTATTCATCCGGACAGTCCGGTATTTTCACCTCCTGTCTGGTGACAATTCATTCAGAGAATACCGGACACCTAAAATGTCCAGTATTTTCTGATTTTTTTCCCCAGCAACATACCTGGTAACCCTACAAACACTCAGCGCCCGGCCTCCTCCTCCCCCCCCCCCCCACCCCGTTCAAAATGGCTGCTGACCAAGGGGAAGGGGTCTTCTTGGTCTCTTCCCCCCCTCTTCCCCCCCGTGTTTTTTTTTGGTGGGGGTGGGTTGGTATTTGTTTCAACCATCTGGCAACCCTATACAGGGAGAGGAGGAATGCAGGCAGGCATGTGTTCGCCTCAGCCTCCCCAGTCCCGGGGAGGGCAGAGGGCATGCAGCGTGGCCTGAGCCTCGGACGACATGAGACATGGCCCCAGCCTCCCTAAACCTGGAGGAGGACATTCTGTGTGGCCTGGTCCAGCCCTTCCTCTCCAGACCCAAAGCACTGGGGCAGCAACACTCTGCCTACAGTAAGAGTTCTGGGGCATTCTGGGGGTGGAGTGCAGACAGGGTTATGCCTGGTGGTCCCCCTCCTTACGTACCAGATAGACATGACAGCAGAGTTAAAGCTGAAATAAGTTACCCAACTTGAGCTACATCAATTACATAGCTTAAGTCAAAATAGCACCAAAAGGCAAAATAAGCTGTCTGCACAGCAGGAAGTCCAAGAAAGAGCACTCTTCTGCTGACTTGACTTACTGCTCATAAAATGAGGGTTACAGGAGCTGGAGTATGTAGTTCTCCAGCTTGATATTATGTTTAAATAACTGCTGGTAGTATAGATGCAGACTATGTTATTTTGGATGTTATTCCAAAATAACACTGTGTGTAGATGTACCCAGAATGCCCAAAGCTGTATTTCAAGGATGCGTGCAAGTGTAACCCACAATGTAACTAAGTGTGTGGGTTACACAAGTGGGACCTCAAAGAGGTGGACATGGATATGAACAAGTGGGAAGATCATACTCAAGTCCACAGCCTTTGAAGACAAGAGCTTAACAAAGGTCTCCAGAGTTCCAACAGAAAACTATCCTGGCTTAGCAGGAGACAAGAGCTCACAGAAGGTGAAGCCCAAAGAGTCAAAACATCACCTTTAAATGGGACAGATGTGGCAGAGAGTCTTTCAAGAGGGTCATCTCAGTTACAATTGCAGCTGCCATAAAAGCAAGTAAATTCTTTACTTCTCAGGGATATAATACATACCCATGGCCTCTTGAAACTGAAGGATGCCTAGTACCGCATAGGGGATAATTATGGGTCAATACATAACCACAGCAGCCAAAGTTTTCAGCAAAGGAACTTAACTTTAAGTTCCTAAGTCTACTTTTAGGTGTCTGAGTAGCATTTTCAAAACCACACAAGTAATCAAGCAGCACAAGTCCCATTGATCAGCTCTGACACAGAGCGATGCAACACTTTGTATTAAAAAAAAATCAGAGTCATAACCCCCCAAGTCATAACGTTAACACACACACACCCACACCCACCCTGACTTTGGTACTTTGCATTTGCTTACTAAATTAAACCTTAAAGGTTCAGGTTTAATTTTTACACTCCATGATCATGAAGCACTCCACTACAGACTAAGCATGATAAAGACTAAAATATTACTCTAAAAATCTAAAAGTTCTAACCTTTGTCAAAAGGAAATGAGTTTCTCCACCACCTCCCAAAGGGAAATTCTGTTTCTAGTCTGCACGTATTAGTCAGAACAACAAGCAGAGACTACTTGTTTACAATAATCCCTTCATGCAGTCTTCAAAACTTCTTCCTCACAATAAAATAAAATCTTCAAAGTTCATGCTATGCCTCATCAGAAAGAGTGAATATGGATTACCATTTGCTATAGTCTCCCCTGAGGAAAGCTGGTCATTCCTTACTAGTGTTAAGTTACTAAATCTATTTAACACCTGTTGCAATATACATCGTTTACACTTATTTCCTGGCCTTTGCTCACTGTACATAATTTTTCCCTAGTTGAGAGCGGCTGCTTTCTTATGAGGATACTTTCCAGTCTTGTGATTAACTCCTGACCTTATCCAGTTAAGACTAGCACTTTTCACTGTAGCAGAAGACAGGGGTGTTTTGAGCTGGGGCAGGGAGAAAGCAGGTCCCATTTCTTCTGTCTCATTTCCACCTGCTGGAAAATTCTCCTGCCACCACCTCATGACAACATGTTGAAGATAAGCTTAATGGCTTCACCTCGCTTCCAGAACAACAAGCCTCCATGGCTCTATTCTTTTCTTCTATTAGACAGGTATTTTCCCCACAACAGGATACCAATTTTTAGAGTTTTACTGCTTTCCCTCCCAATAATCATAGGAGCAATGTGATTCAGTGTTTAAATGAGCATCTGATCTATCCCTAGTTCCAACATGCACTCTGTATTAACTCAAGGATGCCTTCTAATCTTTCCCACATGCTTCCATTTACTCATTTTTAAAAGAGATAATTATATCTGCCTGCCCATCTACCTCAGAAATAATTGGGAAGGTTAATGTATGTTCATAACTAGGGATGTAAAATCCCATTTAACAGGTTAAGCATAATGTTTAACCAATAAAAGGGGAACAGGCAGGAGTGTCCATCCTCCTCTTCTTCCAGATACAAGCTGCTCTAGTCCCCACCCGTTAACCAGAACCAGTAAGCATCACTCATGATGCCTACCTGTTAATCTTTCACATCCCTATTCACATCAAAATCTTCAAAATAGGCTGTATGACTTGTGTTAGTTATAACATTTAAAAATGCTCCTCCGTAATCAACCCTGAATGTCATGATAGCCAGTTTCACAATTCACCACTCCCAGTGTAACAAGTGGTTCCATAGCTCTAATCAGTGTTACAATCCATTGTTTTTTCTGGCTATTGGCAAGAGTCAGTTTTGTGCCTTCGGGCAAAATTCATGTCTTAGAAGAGAGTTCGCTTTTTGACATTTTAGCGACGCTTCTCAAGCCTGCATCTCTCACATGCAGCTGGACGCATACACCCCACGGCTGCCTCTCACCTACCCCCGGACCAAATTGTAAATAGTGAGAACCAAATCCTACTCCTGTGTGCAGAAGTTACTCTCGGCGCTGGGGCGCTGTGCCTGGGACTACTCCCGGCAAAGAGACGAGCTGAAGGCGAGTTCTCAGGCGGGGTGCGCATAAGATCCCTGCATTTCTCCCCCACCACAGCCCGTGGGAGCCCTGCAGCGACTCTCCAACGGGGTCCGACCTGGCAGCATTTAAAAATGGCACCGGCCGGCTTTATGCAAAGGAAGCCCGGGAAATTCAAATCCCGGGCTTCATTTGCAACTCCGTATGACTACATTA